TGTATACATATGGTTTGTTTTATATATATGTATGTATATGGTTTATTATATATGTGTGTGTGTGTATGTGTCTGCATATAATGGGTAATGGGTAATTGGGGTATTTTCCCTATGAATGTCTGCTGAGACCGTAGGGGGGCCCAAGACTGGCTACCATGAAAGGATGGGGGTCACCCTGGTCATCGTCACATCTTTGCTGGAGCAGGCATCCTTCCAGTCTGCATGCCCTCAATGCCAGCAGCAGGGCACTGCAGAAACCCCCACCTACACTCAGAACCCACCCAGCCTCGTGCCGCTGGGCTGAGCTGCAGGTGACGAGATGGGGCAGCCCCAAGGGCAGCGATGGTCAGCTGGATCAGGACGATGCCGGAGGCTCAGTCCACCAGCAGGACCTCAAGGGGGTCACAAAGCTTCTCAGAGAGTGGTGGTGTCATCAGCAAATGGACAGCAACCACGAGCTGACCAGGCTGCAGTGAGAATTCAGTGCCGTCACTAAAATCCAGCCCTAGGGTACACGGTTACTGGTAACCGGCAGGCCGGCGGTGTGAACCCACGCCCGCGCCGGGGAGAAGACACTGGCTGACTTCTCCCTCTGGGCCGCTGCTGGGCATTTCCAAGGGCCACTCTGCTCAGGACGGCCCTGCACGTGCCCAACTGCCCCATCCTGCCACCTCCCTAGGGACCCTGCTTCTCGGACACACGGTGGAATCTACTCCGCAGCCGCTGACAACAGCAGGAGGCATCCCTTAGTGTTCCTGGTAACAGACCTCCACTCTTCCCACACGTCTGGGATCTGATTGACTGTTCCGTCTACTCAGATCTCAAAAATGCCCCGTCTCGAATACCCAGTCATCCACCTCCTCCCGTCACCACAGGGGCCAAGCCAGCAAGAGTGGCATGACCACGAAATGCAGCCCAGGACGGAGAGAGTGAGGCTGCCAGGGAAACCACAGCTTGTAAAAAGCACAGCCTCTGTGACGCACGATAAAGCCGGACGAGGTGCGCCTGTCCAGTACAACCTGCTGGCTCCACTGTCCTGCTGTGTAAATGCTGGCTTCTCCAACCTTCTCTCTTTGCATCCTTGTTCTTCTGCCAAGCCCCGAGGATCGCCCTGACGCTGCTGGATCTACACATCTGGGGGGACCTTTCTCCGAGACCTCACACTTCTCAACTGCGTTCACAACTGGACAGAGACACGCTGCAGACACCTCAAACAAACGCAGACTCCTGACCTTCCTGCTGAGGAGCCTGGTGACCTTGTGCGTAGCACACCGGACTGCTCTTGGAAAGGTCAGGTTTGGACCCAGCAGCCACTCCACAGGGAATGGCAGTCTCGCGCCTCAGAAACCCAGCGGAAGGCAGGATGATCTATGCGAGGGCACTGGGTTTAGCCCTCAGTTTCTCTTTCTGCATAATCAGAAAGTGCCCACTGGCACTTAGCCAAGGGCTCTCCTAGACTCGTTTTTCTCTTACTAGTCAGGCAATTTCCGAGTCTGCTCCAGGTCACTCCGCAAACCAGCCCAGGTCCCCTGTCCTCTTTGTCCATTACTGACAGAGAAAGATGCTGTCCCAGACTCCGAGGAGACACTACTGCTCCAGAGGGCTGTGCTTGGAGGCAAAGACCCAGAGAAGGTCACTCCCTGAGCCACCTTGCTCTGCAGCATTCCTGGGGGACTTGGCTTTCACCCCCGGCACCCGGGGTTTTGTGCACCAAAACACTACACTGATCCTCGTCCTAAGATCAAGCCCCACAGTGTGTAAGTAAGAAATGGACCTGGAACAAAGCCACGAATGAGTCAGCCCTTCTCACGGAGGCCCTGGGCAGAGAGTCCCTCCAGCCAACCCACACCTGGCACCCGTCCTATCATTCCAGCTTCCCGTGACTCTACAGAACACGGGAAACACGGCCTCACGCGGCTTCCAAGGTTGTGGATTGTTACAAACACAGACTGCGTCACCGTCCTTCCACACCGCAGCTGGTAATGGCTAACAGTCTGTGGGTCTAGTGCTTAATCCACTGTGCCACCAGGCTCCCACGGAGAACCGGATGCCTCACATGCCAATGCCGTGATGAGGAAAGTTATCACAGAAGCAAAAGCAACCCAAGTACTTTCCCCTCCAAACAGGCAAGTATTGGAAATTACTCCTTTACACTCGTTAGCGTTTACACAGACCCTCAAGGAAAAGCTGTGCAAATGCCACACTGCCAAGTGCAGGACAGGGAAGGAGGGACAGCGGACATCCGACCCTGGAGTCAATTCTATCCTTCTCACGACAAAGTGGTGCCAAGGTCTCCTGAGAGCTGAACCTCCCACCCTCACCCCTGTTCCCTGGGAGAACCGGAGCTCACAGCTGACCTGCCTGTGGGTGTTTGGAGGCTGGACGTTACAGGAGAAGAGACGGCTCACCCTTCTCCCCTTGAGCTTCTGGTGGCCTTGAACTGTCAGAGAGGTGCCAGCTCTGCGTTAGCCACACCACTCCCTACGCACCACGCCGATGCTGCTGGGCAAACGGACTCCGAAAACAGCAACGGCACTGTCAGTCGTTGTCAGGTATCGTCGAGTATGCCTCACAGCGACCCTGTGAAGAGCAGATCTGAACCCCGTCCTGTCCTGAGCCATCGTCTCACTTCCTGACACACTAGCCTGCTGCGGCAGTCACCGTGTCAGTCCACCTGGTAGAGGGTCTTCCTCACCTTCACCGACCCTCCACCCTTCCAAGCATCATGGCCCTCTTCAAAGAAAGGCCCCTCCTAGAAAAAGGGACCTGGGAAAGCAGAGAGGGTTCTGTGGTCAGCCTGGGAATCACTTCATACTGTTTGTTTTGGGGGTTTTTATGAGAGAAAACACCTGAAAATATCTATTAATAACCGAAATGAGGTATAGATGCTCTATCTTCACATTATACTATCCACTCAGCACATACCAATATCCAGCCCAGGAATTAAGTCCCTAGGGAGCACACTTGGAAGACCACCTCACAGGACCCCTCACTGGCTGTCTCTATCATCTCCCCCAAGTGGCCACGTCCTCCTGAAGGCTGGACCATGCCTACCTGACCCAGCGTGGCCCCGTGTCCTACACCGAAGCTCTTGGCCACTGTCGACTGACCACAGCCAGCTGGCAGGACAGGGCAGTGCTCCCATGGCCTCTCCCAGGCTGTCTCTCTTCACAGCCGAGCATTTTATCTTTCTCCACAGAACGGCTGGTGGGTAGAATGACCAACTTTCCAGTTACCAGGTGAACTCCTTAACCACTGCGCCACCAAGGCCCCCCACTGGGTACTAGAGACACACAGAAACAACCACAGACAAAGGGGCCTGCTCGCTGACCCTGGATTAACCTCAGCTGACCCTCCATCAGGTTCTCAGAGGCAGTAAATTTCTAAGGAAGAGATTTCCCATCCTTCTCCCAAGAAGCAGCTGATGGATTTGAACCATCTGCCTTTGGGATTGCAGCACAGTTTCTTACCACTAGGCCACCAGAACCATGGAAAACACCCTGTGCACTCGGAGAAACGTCATCACTGAATCTCCGGAGTCCTGAGTCCTGTGACCCACCACCCAGGGTCACCCAGCGAAGCTCCTCAACCTTCTGCACAAGGACAGGGATGGACAGATGGCGAGCTCCCCAGCCACACAGTGTCGACGGTCTCCTCTCATGCTGCCTGGCTGGTGGTCAGCTCAGAGCCATTAGCAGGCTACCCCCTGCAACCACCAAAACCGGTCAAGCGCAGGACCTGAGGTTTCAAGGGGTGCTTGGACATGTTAGCACCTCATGGGGACCCAGGGTCTGACTGTCTCCTCCCACCCTATGAGGAAGACTCTCCGCCCAGCAATCCCACGT